TCAAGATTTCACCGGCCACCGTGCTCCGCTACCAGACGGGCAACTGCTTCGAGTACAGCACGTTGCTGTGCTCGCTGCTGACTGGCGCCGGATATCGCGCGTACGTGGTCTCTGGGTACGCCGTACGCTCCGTCTGTCAGAAGGACATGGTGCGCGTGGTGTGCCCGGAGATGACGCACGTGGAGGAGGAAGCAACCAGCGAGGAGGCGGCGCCCGAGAACAAGTACCAGCTCAAGCCACCGAAGGAGCTGGTCAGCAAGTACGAGGCGATGATGGAGGAGCGCGTGCGTGAGGCGGCGCGCAAGCTGGAGCAGGAGCGGCTCGAAGAGGAGATCCGACAGATGAACGAGCACGAGAAGGAACCGCCGGACCCACTGTTTGGCATGCGCGTGCACGCGTGGGTGTTGGTGATGCCCGGTGATCGAGATATTACTGAGCCGTTCTTCATCGAGCCAAGCACGGGCGTGGGTAAGGGGATCCGCAGCCCGGACTACCTGGGCATTGAGTCACTGTGGAACCACCGCAACTACTGGATCAATCTGCAGTACTGCATTAATGGGGTCCGTGACCTGGAGTACGACCTCTTCAATCCCATACACTGGGAATTCCTGCTGCTGCGAGACGCCATGCGTACCCCGCACCCCGACGAAGTCGAGACCGATCTGGAGGAGGCCGTACTGGACGCAGACCGGCTGTTGGAGATGCCGTTTTCGTGGGTGGAGCGCCTGCAGGTCTCCAAGGCCAGGTACGACGAGCGCTTCCCATGTGGAAAGAAAGTGACGAACTTCTACCGATCGAAGGTGGAGGAGTTCTCACCGTACTCAATGAAGGACGGCGTGGTCAAACGACTTACCATGTACGAGGACTTTGGCTGCGAAACTGTTGTTTCTGTCAAGGAGACATATCTGCATCGTGCTGACCACCTGGTCAGCCGAGAGATCACACAGGAAACGGGCTGGGTGGAGGAGCGCTTCTCGGCCGGCCGGGAGGACGCCCTGAAGGAGCACCAGTATGCCGTGCTTGGCAACAACCCCGAAGACCGCCGCGTCATGCAGTACTACCACAAGGCTCGCAAGGACTGCATGGCGACGCGCACGGTGACCGAGGGTGGCGTCATCCAGGAGGACTTCATCGAGCGCGACGACAAGCTGTACCGACGCGAAACCCTGGTGGGCAGCATCCAGAAAAAGTTCGGACCCGCCTGCGCCACGCGCAAGCCCATCATCAGCATTACTGAGCGCATGCACCGGAACCCGCGCGGCGACGGCGACGACGGCGTCAGTCTGCGCACCTTCGACATCGCCGATGCCAAGATCAGCGTCGTGTTCCACGCGTGCCGCGGCAAGATCACGGCCGAGCGGCGTGAGTTCTCGAAGCCGCACCCGGACGACAAGGCGCGACTGGTGCCCATCCTGGAGGAGGCGGCCGCCTCCGGTTTCAGCACCGACCCCGAGGAGGTGCCGCCGCGTATGCTCGACCTCTACTACATGATGAAGGCGCAGATGGAGGACGAGGAGCGATCGGTGGCGGCCGTGCGCGAGGCAGAGGACGAGATCATCGAGCTGCTGAACGCGCGCCTGCAAGAGGAGGCTGCGCTCGACATGGAGTACAGCCTGTTCGACAGCGACTTACAGCCGCAGATCCGCACCGATCGCAAGGACCTGGAGGCGTTCCTGGCCGCCCAGTCGACGAGACTGGTCGAGAAGAACAAGGATCCGCTGGGGCCGTTCCTGGCGCGGCTGAACGCCACCGAGGCGGAGCTGACCACCGCCAACCGCTTCCAGCTACGTGACGAGTGCATGCAGAGCTTCCGGCAACGGCTCGTGGATAAGGCCAACCGGCTGCAGAAACAGTTCGAGGAGGAGACGGAGGCGCTGCAGTCGCGCCAGCGCTGGTACCAGCAGAACTACGTGGGCTTGACGGATGAAGAGGAGGAGCGCTACCTCACCTTCTGTCACGACACCATGTTCCGGTTACACGTCCTGGAGTTGCTACTGGAGAGACACAAGCAGATGGCGCCCGTGAAGCACCAGGCGCTGGAGATGAAGCTCCGCAGCGATCCCAGGATCTCCGGTGACGTCATCAAGGAGGAGGGGGAAGGCGGATCTTGAGCAATCTGACGTCACACACACGCGTGGGTTTCGTGACGTATCTCATGAATTACCCAAGAAGTGCTGCATCAGCGCACTCCATCAGGGGACAGGGGCGAGGGTTCTGACCGCGTTCTGGTTAACATGCCGTATGGTGCAGGTGAACCGATGGTGAGAGCCGTGTTACGGTCACCCTAATCGAACCAGCACAGCCGACGATTCGCCTGATCTCGTGGTAGTGGAGCGCTGTCCAGAGCTTGTTCAGTGACGACAGAGCCGCCGGCCAGCAACCGGCGCCAACTCCACCAAATACACTGTTGAGAGAGCAGTCTGACCTCTCACCAATGCACTGGCGACAGTGAATGGTCGCACACTGTCCTTTATTCAGTTCACGCCAATACAATATTCTTTACGATCTTAACACGCCAACAGGAGCCTTGAAAGAAAAGGAAAGCTTGCTCAAGAATACCGCCTTGGCCCAACATTCAAATCCTCATGTCTCTTTCATAACGAAAAACAAAGCTGATATTTCACGCCGCAGCTCCAGCCTGAGCATATATTCAATTCGCTAATGCAAAAGTAAGATACAAGTAGACCTCCATCACAGCATCTGGCGTCACGACGAACACCGCAACTCGGCGGCGTGTATCACGAGCACGCCACACTCGGCAGATGTACACGACAGTCGTCCTGCACGGCGCTCGACGGGGGGGGGGGGGGGGAGGGAGGGGCGCCCGGGCCGCAATGATCACTCGCTCCGAGTTCACGGCGCCAGACAGATCTTCGGAAACACCAGGCCAGTCGGTCAGACCGGTCGAACACTCCGCGGCTGCCGCCCTCACCAGACCCACCGCAGCACAGCTACCGAGCCTTAGTCCGACGCGGCTCCTGCGTGACCCGTCGGCCCAGGCCAACACGCGACACGCGCTGTGTCCGTCCGAGCAGACCACGCACACGGCACTGCGGACGTCCGCCGCCAGGGCCCGTCGCCATTCTCCCCGTGCGTGCGCGCGAGCGTCACGCCGCTCAGTTCTCCAGGAACGAGACGTACTGCGTGAGCAGCGCCAGCGACTGCTGGCAGCTGGTGCCCTGGTGGAGGGGCGGCGCCGCTGGCCGCGGTCCCACCACCGTGCCGTCGACGGCCCAGCCGCGCTCCTGAGCCAGCCGCGCCACCTGCTCCGACGGCAGGCCGACGAACGCGGTCAGGTCGGCCAGCGTGATGGAGGTGTAGGCGCGCGCCACCAGCGCCAGCGCTCGCTCGCGGATCACGGCTGCGGGCCGCGATGGCGAACGAGGTCAGAGTCAGCTCACCCACATGACAGGCGCGAGCAGCGGCGTCGCAGCTGCCGGGGTCGTCACAGAACAACAAAAAACAACAAACAAACAACACAAAGAAACATACACGCGCCGCGCCGTGAGGCTATATAATCGCAGCGGAATGGTCGAGTTACGTCAGTGTTCAGGAGCCATCATGGAATTACACCACACCTAGCGCTTCCCTAGGGCATGACTGTTCAAATTCTCGATCGCAAGTTGAGCAGCTGCTAGCTGTCATATGCATGCTTTGGAATATTCAAATATCCGCGTTCAGAATCAAGGTCGGGTCGCCACGCCAGCCTGCGTGCCTGTGTAACACAACACAGAATAAAAAAAGGGAACGACGGTGACATGCTGAAATGGGAAGGCTTTGCCTTCATAATGATCGTGATTTACAAAATTCCCACAAAAAAACGAGTTCGCCCATATGCGTCAGGCTTTTCGTCTTGAACCCCAAGCACGTTCTCGATGCGCTTCAGTGTGAGTATTTCCTAACCCGCGACTGCCCGGGAGAGGGGGTACAAGCAGCGCCCTGCCATCCCACATTTGGGTGTTTGATTAGTTTGATACTGACTAGCTCGATTGCCGGCCAGTAAGGATCAGTCAGGGCCTGCTAGGGTCAGAACAGGGCATCTACGAGGTCACACCGGAGTACATGAGGTCACACCAGACCATATACGGAGTCACGAAAACCAGTGACTTTTACGTGGTGTGACCAGAAAAACCTGAACAAATTTATTGGAATGTGTGACCTGACTCCGACCTCACATGCTTGACATGTGGTCTGTAGCCGCTGGCCAATCTTTGCGACCAGTAGTACAAGTGCTAGAATGCATTGACATCAGCAAATGTTTTTTTGTTGTGTTCTGCGAGCCCTGTGACGGCACCAGTCACGCCAAAAGTGTCAGCTCGATGAATGCAAGATAGACTGACCGTGGCTTTCGATTGCCAACGGAAATTTGTCCAACTGACGGCTGGACGCTGAGATGCAAGGAGATTACTTCTGACCTTCAGGGCGGCCAAATATCCCAGCTGATGCCTGTTTAAGACGATCTCAACGGCGCCCTGCTGACCCCGATCTGCGTACGGTGCTAAGGATTTGAGAGGACGAACCCTCATACGGCGCGGAGGATGTGAGAGACCCGTACCCTCGAGTTCGCCGATGGCCTGCTGGAGGTACGCCGGCCACTCGCGACGCAGAGCCGCGTACGTGCCCGGGAAATTCTTGGTCCAGAGCTTCTGCCCCACCATCCACAGCGCCGCAAGCGTGCCGTCCGCCTCCTTGGCTGAGGTGGGCGCGCGCTTCCACAGGAACTTGGCGCTGCACCTGCAGTGAGATCAGAACACTTGTACCAGGGGTGCAAATTTGGCGTTTTGCACTGGAGGGGGGGGGGGAGGGGGCAAACCCATGAACTTTGTCCATCCTATATCCGAGACAGATCTTCACGAGTGTTGTCCACTTAACTCTGCGGTCATAAGTCCTTAAGGTTCCGGTTCCCCAAGAGCTCTTGAGGATGAGCACGAGACAGTAGATGATCGTGTATATTGTATGTTTTCTGTACAGACGTCGTATAGCTTCTAAAAATTTAACGTACCCTCTCTGCATCCTGTTTTAGTTCAGAGACGGATCGTTTCCTGGAAAAGAACATACCACTATTTGCCCCGTTCTTCGACGTTCCGCAAAGTAAACCTATTTGATTTTTTGGTGAGTAATAACCTACATTTCCCAGGAGCGCCTAAGCCCAGGGGCAACTAAAAGGGTCTCGGACATTCATATTTAGCAGGAAACGAGTTTCTGGGGAATTGCAACATCTGTGGAGCTCCATTAACGAAATCATGAATCGGCCCATTTGGAGAAGGGGCACCAAAACTTTTAATTTCGCGGCACCAAAACATATATTTACTAACGGCAACAGTCCTAAATCGGCAATTGAAAGGATCACGAAACCTTCTTTGAGGGACACTACGATTTCTTTGCTTTCCATCTTGACCAAAGTTTGGTTGGATCCATTCCGAAAAAGAAACCACAAAACCAGAACTGTGCAGCATAACAAACGAAAACTTTTTTATTCCCGGGGGTAGCACAATACGTCCCAACACATTCATCTTTCAGAAACGATAAATTCCAGGGACACTCCAATGTTCGCGCCTTCCTATGGGCGAAATCCGGGACCGGCCTATTCGGTGGTTGGTCACCAAAAATTTTATTTTGTGGTAACATGACCTTCACTTCTAAAAGGCAAAAATCCAAGCGGGTCATTGAAAGGACCCCTAAGTCTTCTTTTTCAAAGAGAACCAAAATCAGGGAGCACGCAATTCCTGCGCCTTTCACGCTAACAAATACTTAATAGTACTTCTCGTCGAAGAACCACCCGACGCCTTCATTTCGGGCATCACCTGCATTTTGAAAAGACATCTACTTTTAAGGGAGGAGCCACGTAAGCCTCCAAGCCCTTTAATTTAAGTGGCGTTCAACTTCACAGGGCACAAAAATTGCCCATCTTTTAACATCACGAAGAACCAAGGGAGCCCCTTTCGATGGGACAACGACACGCAACCTACCTTTGGCCTTTGGGTTCCGAGGTCCCAAGGAGCCCTTGGGGCCCTGAGGGTGGGACGTTCCAGGGTCGGATCGAAGGGTCCGAAGGGTAAGCCAGGGGAATGAAGGGACCTCAGCCAGCGGGCAATACAGAACACTCCGTCCAGTGTCGGTCTTGGCCCTGGGGCCTCTTTCCCGAGTCAGGACAGGGCCAGACCTGCAAATGTTAATCCGAAAGATCGAGCATTGGTCTGGCTCCTGTGCTGATCAGGGGCTCACTGTGCCCAAAATGGACACTGTGAAAACACAACAAAGAGTGTCGGCAACAAGCCCAAAGCCGGATATAGACACACTGGCTCACCAGGGACAGCAGCGGGACCTCGGACGTCAAAATGCTTTGGTTAGGACCTTCTTGACAATAACAGGCGACATGACAAATGATGATGCAAAGATAAGCGCTCACAATGACACAGTGACCTGTGCCAGTCAGCGGTCGCAGGATCGAACGAAGTGGCCCTCCGCACCGTTTCAACCAAGAGGCAGAGACCGATAAGCCGAATTGGCGTCTCGGTGCCAATTATTGGACTTCCTGTTAAAGTAAGGGATCATTTTGCGTCGGTGACGTGTCCCTGCGTCGATCCTGTGTCAGACACCCAGGTCAGAGAGCCCGACGCATCAGGGATGGGACCGGTGCGTGACGTATCCCTCTGGGGGCCTCCGGATCGACCCGGGCACCCCGGTCCCCGTATCGCCAGAATAGCACTTGCTATGTGCCCGGGCTGGGACGAGACAGCCCTTCAGCTCGTGGCCAGCAAAATACATCCGGGCGATTCTGAGACAGATTTTCGGGACGAAATCATCAGTTAGAGCGTCACCAGCGGTCGAGATTACACCATAGCGTCATCAGTTCGTGGTGCTTTACGTGCTAAGACAATATGAAAATATGATGGCAGTTGGGTGCAAAATATGAACGTTTTACATATTGCGTATTATGTATAAAACATGTTACATAATATGATCCTTTTCCACGCTCGTACTATGCTAGGGGTGCTAGAGCTATATCGATCTTCGAACACAAGATGATTTTACGTGCCGGAGGCGCAGTAAACCTAACATCCTTGTTTTTCATATCTAGCACTTCCATTGTTTACGTATCACTTGTGTCAAATTCCTCAATAAAAATGCAGGAAGTTTTGATACCCCTTCAAAATACTCAAAACATACAGCACAAGATTTGAAAGTTTCTATAGAAATGACACAAAACATGCCCTCATATTCCAGTGAACTGGCCACATGTTTGAGTTCAAGAAAAATCACGTTAAAGGTCAACGATTTTTAATAACTTCGCCGCTTTCTGCTGCCACTATCAACATTTCAACATTCGCGTCATGACGCACCACCCGAGTGGCGTCATGTGTACAACTGATTGGTTTTGTGTTCAGCCGCTCTCTTTGGGCCTCGATTCCCCGCGCAACCCGCCCTTTCTGCCAGGATGAGAGGCAAACGCCACCATGTGGTCACAGAAGCGTCGTAAAGCCCAGATGACGTAATAACATTCACTGTGAAATTGCTGACTTACTAAATGCAACTTTTTGGGGTTCTGTTTTATGTAAGCTATTGTGTATTGTTTTGTGCCATGCTTTGCTTTATTTCTGAATTGTGAGTACACACAAAATCTTAAATCATTTTTACTTTAAATATTTCATAGAGTATTGGGAGCCACATTCCACATTGTGAAGGTCTAGCCAAATATGGGAGCCCAGCACAACATTGGGGGGGGGGGGGGGGGCACCTCCACATTGCAGGGTCATGCCCACCCACCCCCCAAAAAGAGATACACAGTTCCACCCCTAACACTTGCATTCATTGTGGTGGAATGCTTTTTACTTAAAGAAGCAACAATAAGCAAAACATCAAAGGACAAACAGCGAGATGTCAAGGGCACAAGCTTCAGACAAATGAAGGTCGACCATTTGGTGATAGAACAACACACTCACATCCTCAGATTGGAAATGGGAAGGCCTCTATAATGCCTTTGAGACTGAGCACGACTTAAAGTGTCTGGAAAGCATTTGCCCTTGATTTTTGTATTGACAGTCACCACAAGTCACATTTGGACACTTGGACAAGAGCTCCCAAACTAAACACCAAAAAATCTGAAGGCAAGGCCATCTTGGTTCTGTGGAGGAAACAAACATAGTGGACAGCTCCCTAAATTACAAGGATAGATGTGGAGCACAATTGTTAAGCAGTATTGTGGTATGCGCAAATCATGTACTGATCTTAAGTAAAAGATCCATGAGCTTTGCTCAGATTTTGCAGTGAAAGACAATCAGATTTCTCAATATTTTTAGCATGTGTATAGTTAGGTCTGGTGTCAAGTTACATCCTTTTCAATGCATGCACCAATACATGCATCTGTGGTGGCTCTCAGGTACTTACAGATCAGGATGAATGATAACAATAAGCATCAGTTAAAATACAAGCATCAGTGGCAAAAGTGTGCAGTATGTGCACATAACACTTGTACTCACAGATCATTCTCCAGAAGATAGCAGGCCAGCAGTTTGGTATATACCTCAGGAGCTGCTATACCATCTGGAGACTAAAGACACAATTGCTGTGTTTCTTGGAAAACAAGATATTTAATATGCACTACAGATTTGTTGTGTAGAATAAAATCACCATTTATAACATAAAACACCACAACCATAATGCTTATAGCTGAATGCATGATTTCAAACTATTGATATAACTCAAGTTTTTGTTCCAAAGAACCATTTCCCTTCAGGTACCACATTAACAATGGCTAGCATGGGTGGGGAATGACCTTTGTATCTGACACATATGGAGGTGCAAAAAGCATTGACAGTGGCTGATTTAAAACTGTGGGAAGTTACACAGATGTAATTGGCATATCGTACACATAATTCTTCTTTCTCCAGTTCCTTTCTTGTGCCTTCAAGGTCTGCAAGCATTACTGAGTGATCCTGGTGACCTCTGAGTATTGAGACCTTTGCTGGAAGATAGAAGCACATCATCAAATTCTAAAGGCAATCAACCATCACAAACATCTGGACAGTGAGAACATAGATGTGGTATGTATGCAACTGGCCCATATAATACTTAGATCTATGTGGTGACTAACATGAATTTGAGTTTACTTCTCATGGGATAAGAATAAAACTGTTGGGCTAGACTATTTCAAATAACATGGTCAATTCATACTGTCTCATTGTAAATCTATTTATATTTTTGTGCTATACTACTATAACACTGGCCCATATTATGCAAAATGATCAATATAAAATGACTACCTGTAAATGTAATACTGTTTTTGTGCCCTGTACATACAAAATACTTTTCAGATCCCAGTGATTCATTTTTATGCCAGTAAAAAACAACTCAAGTACATCTACCAGACAACAACTGAACATGCTCCACATTGCTGAAAATGTCCAGACAGCAATGATGCATAGCAAAAAATTCAGAACATGGTTATTAGAAATCAGGGTGTTAAGAATTTGCAACACAGCCACCACCAATTCCAGGGCATGGCTAGCAGTTAAGAGAATTTTGAAGTTACCAAGAAAATTTCTGACATATCACAATACTATAAATCAAACTGATGACAGTTTTACATAAAAAAGCTTGAAAATTCAGTACAATTTGACATGGCCTGAATTACACACACACAAGCCTGAGGTTAAGCAAAGTTCTGTACGCAAGGAGTGCAGCAGATGTGCTCTTTGCAGACAGGTCTCTAAATGTGTATACAACCTTGTTCTTGCAACACAACCACTAACCAGATGAAATTTATGAACATATGCATGGTAGCAGTTTTACAAAATCCATGATACCGAGTGCAAAAACTGGCACAACGTGTCACTGCACACCACAAATGTGGAATTAGGGTCAAAATGATAAACAAAATATTTATTTCAATGCAATACCCTTCGTTTTTATGCAGCCCGCATATACAGCGCACGGTATGCATATATCACATCCATAGCATATACTACCCCGCATCCGCCTCTACTAACCTTCCCTGCTTTAATCACGTACTTGTCACCGACTCCTGCCGCATCCCCCAAGCGTGCTTCCTCACGCATTTACTTCCCAAGCAAGAGCGTACACTCAAAATAGCGCAGGTGCTACCTCGGCATGTGTTACATCGCATACCAAAAATATTAAGCAGTCGGAAAACCTCCAAAATCTGCTTTGTTTAAATCGTGGAAGCATGACGATTGCTAGTTGGTTACACAATTGCCCGAAAGTCACAATGAGCAAGTTTCCGCACGTTTCAGCGCTGGAACCGACACCATTCGTAATCTTCGTGAACGACCTATCAGATCAAGTGCGAAGCATAGTCAAAATGTTCGCGGATGACACCGAGGTCTACTCTCGTGTCCCGCGCCCCCTGACTGACTCTCCTTTACAGGTCGACCTCGATGCCCTGGCCAAGTGATCAGAGGGGCGGCTACTCCCCTTAAATTAACGAAGTACAAAGTTATGTGCATCGAGAACTGCAACCCGAGACTACCCTTTTTCTTGAACGGTGCAGAGGCGGGCCCACCGACAAGGATCTCTGGGTCTTCGTGGATCATAGGCTTAAGCTCCACGTGCAGACGGCAGAGGCGATCTCGAAGGCCAACCAGATGCTGGCGGTCGTGAAACGGGCGTTTGCCGACGTTGGTGCTCATATGCTGCCACTGCTCTTCAAGGTCCTAGCACGCTCGTACTTGGAATATGGCAACGTCATCTGGGGCCCCTACGGCAGACTGGACCAGAAGCGGCTAGTGGGTTTAGGGGCGAGCATCGCGTCTTGATCACGAAGTGAGCCACTGGCCATACCCTGAGAGGTTCCGAGTCCTTCAGTCGCCCTCGCTTTACTACCGTCGCATAGGGGACATGGACCTTACAGCTGTATCAGCTGCTTCACGTCACTGCCGGGGGAGGAGTTCCTGACCAGACACAACTCGGAGGTGACGAGAGGACACCAATAGAAGCTGAGATAACCTCGAGTTAGGACTCTCGTCAGTTGTAACTCGTTCAGCACGTGGGTCGTTAACGATTAGAACGCTCTTCCACACCCGGTCGTACTCAGTTGTCAACCTCAGTTGAACAGTTTAAATCTATGCTTAATAAGCAATGGGCGGGTATCATTTTTGACATTCCACACTGACTCCATTATTTGAGACTGTTGATTACTGGACCGGGAGCTTGCCGAGACCGGGACCGACAGGCCTAGTGGCGTATAATTCCGGATCATCATGAGGTAAGGTGAGGTAAGGTTTTCAGTAATTAGCTTTGCGAAGCCAGCTGCGCCATATTCACGATCGCTGTGCTCGGTCACGGCAAAAAAGTGGAGGTGGTGCCCGTGGAGTGGAGGGCCGCTGTCGGAGAAAAGGTGAGGAATTAGCGTTGAAAAATGTTATTACGGATACAATAATTTGTTGACACTGCGCGTAAGTCTTGAAACGGGCTGTAGGGATGTGCGTAGCTGTAACTTGCCGCGGCTAAAAATCTGTTCTGCTTGTGCCGTGTTCAACCACACGGCGATGTTTGGCATTACGATGCCCACGCAACACTGTTGTGTCAAATTGTGACTGATTTGCAGGCACACTTAAGCATAAGATGCTGTCCACAAGCCCCTCCCCTCATAGTAGACAGTTTGCCTCACACTAGTATTGAATGATTCTCAAACACATTTGAGTTAACAGTATGCTGTTCATCTCTGCCCATTTGTAATACTGTGTGTATCAATGGGCATCTCTAGCATAATTTGTGGATTACAGGACTGCCAAGTCATGCTAAGTCTCACCTCCATGGGCTCTAGGGGTGGTCAATGGGTCCAGGAAACCCTTGTCTCACCTTTGCCTATCATCTTTTTGCAGTTTTCACTGCAGCTTGGTGCTGGTACCTGCTAATTCTAGCAAAATGTGCATCCTGCAAAAACTTAGGCTTGGTTTATTGTTCTTTTTAGCACTTCCCTGTTAGCCTCTGAATGTTTTTCTATGTTGATAATTGTGTTTAAAAGGGTTTGCTGTTTACTGTATGGTTTTTGCTAGATGTGTTTAAGGTACCTCACAGCTAGTGCTCATATTGATTTGGGGTGAGTCAGAATGTATGAAAGGTGTGAGCCAGCCCTAATTTAGTCAGATTTAGTTTGCACAGGATGGTTGAAAGCAGTTTTGTGGTCAGAGTATATGCTCTATGTAAACAGCTTTATATATCACATTTTGAGTTAACTATAAAGTGAATGAAACACAAATACTATTGCTTATAAGAAGATTTTGTGGTCCAATCATGCTGTCAGTCACCTTAGATTTGCTGGGTATTATTGGAATTGCTACCTAGTAGGCTAACAGTTTCAATACCAGATACAACACCTTGTAGTGTTATTAATATTCCAGTGTGGAAACTGTGGGAAGTTGCAATAAGACTGTTCTGTTGCCTAGTGTGAACTTTAAAGCTCATATTCAGCCCTTGCCCAGTTTCCACATTTTTCACAGTGCTGATGGTAAGGGGGCCATGCTGTCCCATGCTGTCTCCAAACTGAGGAAGTTGAAACAGCTGAAATTACCAGTTGATTGGTTGAGTCAAGATCTGGCATTTGGTAATAGATTTAATACTGCTTGGTGTATAGCTGACTCAATTATGCCAAGTCACAATCCAAATTTCCTGAAAATCTGGCTTTCAGCCTGACATGCACAAATGTATGAGACCATGCCTTGTAGGGCCACAAATCTTAGACAGGTGTGTTCCTTGTTCAATTCTTAGTATGTCTGTGCAGTCTAATGTATTTTGGTCATATATTTGTGATGTCTAGCTCAGTTAAAGGAAATGCTCCACATTTGAGGATCTTAAAGCAAGCATCAGACATATTGACATGGCTTACCTATATTTATTGGTATACTGTTAAGTGGAAAAGGCTGATCTAGACAACATGTTTTTTCATTTACTTTTGAGTAAATATGTTACTCAGTACATCATTGTTTGATTACATCATCATACCTTGCACAGCATTGATTGAGAACCAATTGATGGCAGTGATATCTGGAAATTCTGCCCACAAATGCCAGCTGTGAACAACTTAATTGTGTTCTTCCTGGCCTTGACCACTACATGGCTTATGAAAAGGCAGAATTTGAATGATTTTGCTGTATGAATGCCTAGACAACCTTGAAATAGTATCCCTGAAATAGTTTACACGTTGCGGGTACATAGCACAGCAAATAGAGGTGTTTAGGTCGAGTGCTATGAACTATACCAACTGATCATTAAGATGGCTATTTCATTGTAAACCCCAATACAAATGTGGAACACTTCCTTAAGCATGCGCTCGGGTGGAGGTGGGGTCAAATTGACCCCCAAAGGTTTTTCCAGAATGGTTTGCGAATGGGGTGGCGTAGCCGTGCTAAATTTTGCATGGCTGTAGACAATTGAATAGCAAATTGTGTGGTGAAAACTTTAGATGTACCCTGTAAGGTCGCTGACCTATGGCAGTTAAAAGTCAGGTCATGGTTTCAGCAGAGCCAATTTGTAGGGAAACATTCAATCTGATGCATCAGCAGTGTTAGATGAAGCCATACATATCTGAACTGCCTTTTTAGACAACACAACAAATGAATGAGCAAATTGCATTGACCTAAGGTCAGGTATGAAGATCTCACCAAGGTCAAAGCCAACATATTTTATTGGTCTAGGGCCTGCTGTATGGGATGGTTTCTGGTGCTTATTTTGAATTTATTGATAGCAGGAACTGCATTTTACATCTTCCATTCACTTATTAGAGGTGAAAATAGGCCACTGACCTTAAGTGGCCCAGGTCAACATTTGGTTTTAGGAGCATACTGCCTAGCATAATCTTTGTCACTACTGAAATGCAAAACTCAGGGCAGTCTTGTATGATTTCGGTCACCATGACTTTCAGTAGGTTCTGGGGGTGCTTTGGAGACCAACTGGGAATTTGACCTTGTTTGTCCTTATTTGACCAAAAGGTCATAACCTAGGAACCTCAAACTTTGATCTCAGTGAATTCATGTACAGGTCAACACACCCTGTGAATTTGGTGTCTCTAGCTCTCATAGTTGTCGAGATCTCAGGGGGGTCAAATTGACCCAAGCAAAGGGTATCCAGCCGGCCATCTGGGCGCGTGTTAATGTAACAGCGTCGGCCCACCGTGCGCGTTCCGCGGAATCGTCAGTTGCTGCCGCCCGCCTGTGCCGGCCGTAAATGTGCGTGTAGTCTCCTTCAAAAATCGCCTCTCCAAAAAATCCGATGGACGCGTCCTTTTTTGCGTCAAAACACGCCCAATTGACGCCCCATGGGCTCCGGAAAATTGTGTTGCGAATGCACAACATGCCGGAAATGTATCTTCAGAAAACCTTGTGGGGGAGGGTGGCGCCCCCCCCCCCCCCCCTCCCCCGACTCCTTCCTAAGAGGACGAGGGGAAATTTGAGATACCTATCTGCCTGGGCCGTTTTTGTATTGTTTATTTCTTTACTTAAGCACCACTCTGATATTTGGATCAAGCTTACTACTTTGCATTCCACATTCCAGAGTCAGGAAAATAAGCTTGCTGATCCAGATCTTTCTGACCCCGTGAAAAAGCCATTTGACAGTTTCCGGGGGTTGGATCCATAAATTTGACTGTGTGCTGGTAAATTTAACCATTGTTCTGGCTCAAATGTTCCATGCTAGATGGAAAGCCTACTTCACTGTCACTTTGCTGCAATGCACCATGCAGATAATTGCGTGCTCTATTGATCAGCCTGACAGAAAGTTATTCTATAGTTTTGACCACTTGGATGGGACAACACCTTGTGAACAGGATGTACTGAATGAGGCTCCTGGTCCTAAGTTGGCTGAAACCAACTATCAGCACACATCTTTATCAGTAAAAAGGCCACTGAAACTCTATGCAAGTGGCATGCTGTATGAGTGCTGTGTATGTGATATGCTGTGTACATACTACATGGGTGATGTGCTGTGTACATATTGTACATGTCATATGCTGTCGCCTGAAATTGTCTCGTAATGTCCCATTGGCTGACGATAGCTGAACTGCCCACCACAATTATGGGCGTTTTTCCCATTGTATTTACCAGGTGTGATGTCAGTGTGGGAGGGAGGATCAGTGCCAGAGCACCTCACCACCTGACAGACACCTGCTGGCAACCATGAACGCGGCGGTGGGCGGAGAGACGTACCAGGTGGTGGGCACGGCCAGCCTGACCGGCCTGGAGGCCGCCCAGGTGGTGGTGGCTGACCAGCAGGGCATGCACTACATCACCGATGACGGCAGCGGCGGCGAGTGGTTCGTGGTGCAGCAGTGCGACCACCAGGTGGGCCCGGCGCGCGCCTCGGGAAGCCGGACGGGGATCTCGCCCCGGCGATCCTGGCTGCCGTGTTCAGCCGTGATGAGTTTAATCGCAGCTCGTGGTCTTTGGCGAGCTTGCCGGCTGCTTTGTGGAGCTTTCACTCACTCAGCGATTGTGTGTTCTGTCTGGTGCGCTGTATCTGCGAAGATCGTGCCGTCCATCTAACGTCCCAGTTGTCGGCACCTGGCGACGGAGCCGTGACACTGCGCATGCGTGGTGTGACCGTCAGGTGCTGGCGCCGCCCCCGGACGCCGGCGGAGGTCAGCTGGTGCCGGGGGACGCCGGCGGCGCCAGCGGTGCCCGCTGCATGGTGTGCCGCGCCGCCCTGGCCGGCCTGGCCGGCGGCTGGTCTGTGCAGAGCTGCTACACCAAGCACGGCCAGCAGGTGTTCCTTACGCTGCTGATGGACATCCTGCTGCCTGGCGGAGACGTGGCCAGGTCAGTGGCCGCAGCGGTAGTCGAGCCCACTCCTCCGCAGCACGCGGCTTTCATGCGAGCAGCTCCGTTAAGCGGGGTATCGTACTGATGACCACGTTAAATCCCGTTTGTCCCGTTAAATCCCGTTTGTCGACAGCAAGGCCAGAAAGGGACAGGCACTCGGGTGAGTCCGGTTCAAGGAAAATGCCAGCGTTTTCGCCATGTCTGGGACCGTGCGCATGCACGAAGTTACCATCACGTCCTCTGACTTCACGGCCCGTGGTCCTCCACTCACTGATGATCATTGACTACGGCAGAGTCGCTCTTCGGCGTAAATAGCCCTTTTTGGGCGAGCGAGGAGACCACGAGCTCACCAGTGACCGCACATCTCAGCAATATCATGGTCATCTCGCAAGACCAGTATCTCACCGCTACCACCGGTCATCTCCCTAGACAGTGTAACGGAGTGAAGTACTCCTGACCCCTGCAGCCTCGCTCGCCGAGACAGTGAGAGCTCCAGCAGGAAGGCGTGCTCCTTCAGACTGAAATGTTTCCGTGCGTGGGTAGGCTTGATGCAACATCCCACATGTCATGACCGATATCCGCGCAAGCGTGTGCATGTGCTTTTCCTATAAACATCGTAAACCCGGGCTGGGCTGGCCAGCACGCCGCGCACAGCGCCTGCCACCACACGTGTGCAGTGCCGGAGGTAGATTGCGCGGCGGGCTTCTCTCACCGGCCGCGACCGTCTCGTGCAGGGTGTCCGGCTGTGACGACCGCGTCTGCGACGGCTGCGCCTCGCTCCTGAACGAGGTGGACGAGTGCAGCCACAAGCTGCGCGCCGCTCGCCAGCAGATCCGCGACAAGTACAAGATGGCCGCGCTGGCCGCCGGCGACGCCGCCATGGCCCACCAGGTGGTGGCCGCGGCAGGTCAGTAGAGACGCTGGTGCTGGGGCGGCCTGCTCGCTCGTCTGATGACGGCTGTCGAAGGCCCCCCCCCCCCGTGGTGTCGCACTAATTGCGGGCTGTTGTGTACAGAGCGTGCGTTATAGAGAGAACTGAAACTTTTCGCAGTACTGTTCGATTTTTGTGACGGTGGTACGCTGATGGAGAGGATCGAAGTGGGCCTTTCCCAAACGATACCCTGCGTCTCGTAATCATCGGCTAGGTGAGGTAATGGCAAGGGATCTCACATCAGACCAGTTATTGAATAGCTTCCATCTGTATTACCCTGTGTCTGTCTGATGCCGTAGGTGTATGTTTGCCGGCTCTGGTACCTTGCCAGCTCTGATGTGTTGTGCCTGGTACCTGGCCAGTTCTGATGTATTGTGTGTGGTACCTGGCTGGTTCTGATGTGTTGTGTGTGGTACATGGCCAGTTCTGATGTGTTGTGCCTGGTACCTGGCTGGTTCTGATGTGTTGTGTGTGGTACCTGGCCAGTTCTGATGTGTTGTGCCTGGTACCTGGCCAGTTCTGATGTATTGTGTGTGGTACCTGGCTGGTTCTGATGTGTTGTGTGTGGTACATGGCCAGTTCTGATGTGTTGTGCCTGGTACCTGGCTGGTTCTGATGTGTTGTGTGTGGTACCTGGCCAGTTCTGATGTGTTGTGTGTGGTACCTGGCCAGTTCTGATGTATTGTGTGTAGTACCTGGCCGGTTCTGATGTGTTGTGTGTGGTACCTGGCCAGTTCTGATGTGTTGTGTGTGGTACCTGGCCGGTTCTGATGTATTGTGTGTGGTACCTGGCCGGTTCTGATGTGTTGTGTTTGGCACATGGCCAGTTCTGATGTGCTGTGTCCCACAGCCAGGGACGTCAGCGGCCAGAAGCACGAGGTCGCCCTACTGGAGGAGACGGATCTCATGGAGCAGGTGTGACGCCTTATCTGATAGGTCAGGCGCCTCAGGTGCCAGCTGGGGCAGGACGGAGGACGGTACCGGCCGATGCGGGCTGATGTCCGTGTCCCAGTGTCATGATGTGTGGCCGTCAGCTGGCCTGTAGGGGACACGTGACGGCTGTCCTCTGTTAAGTCCTGTCGTATCCACTGGTCCTTGTAGCATGTGAGGCGGTTTAGCCAGTCATAATGTAACAATGTGGAGGTGGGTGTAATAGTGCCAATTCATTAGTTGAAATGGCTCGACACAGTGGGGTGCTCCTTAGCTTGTGAACCCACCTACTGGTGTAACGCCAGTCGACAGGGATTGGCCTTGTTCCAGGTCGCTGGGAGCTCACCTGTTCAAGAGTCTCCTGCTAAGGCAGACGAGTTGCAGGTACAGTATGTCCACAGCCTGACAGCTTGTTCTGTCTTTCTGTAACGTGATGAATTTCCCCTCTAGACTGGCTTTAGTAATAGTTCGACGATGGCCCGGCCCCCAGCGGTACCACTGTTCTTCGGTCCCTTGTTCACACGGCCGTGGCGCCGCCGCTCCACCGATGGCGGTGCTAGCCCAGCTCCCATTACTTCGGTCCCGGTCGCCTGCCGTCCCAGCTGCGCCGCCGCCGCTGCTGCCCCCCCCCCCCCCCCATCTCCCTCCCCCTGCTGACCCCGACCCGGGCCGTGCTGTTGCAGCCGGTGGAGGAGGCGTCTAGCGCCTCGCTGCGCCGAGCGACACTGCGCTGTCCTACCTGTCCGCGCCGGCTCAGGACGCCCGCTCTGCTGGCCAGCCACGCGGCCAAGTGCCGACCACCGGCCGTCGCCGACGTCGCCGACGTCGCCGCCGACGTGGCGGGCGGCGCCATCCCGGCCGACGTCGAGCCCCAGCTGTCCTGCCACTGCGGCGAGCAGTTCGGCACCGCCGCCCAGCTGACGCTGCACAAGCGCACGCGCCACTGGGACGCCACCAAGTACCTCTGCGACGTTTGTAACGTACAGCTGAAGAATCCGCGAGCGTTCGTCGAGCACATGCGCAAGCACGGCGAGACGCGGCCGTTCCGGTGCGACGAGTGCGACAAGCGCTTCACGCTGGCCAGCAGCCTGCGCACGCACCGGCGCTTGCACACCGGCGACAAGCCGTACCAGTGCGAGCTGTGTGGCCGGGCGTTCTCGCAGCACACCTCGCTGCAGAGCCACCGGCGCACGCACACCAACCAGCGGCCGCACGCCTGCGACGAATGCGACCGCACCTTCCGCGAGACGCACGCGCTCAAGAAGCACAAGCTGATCCACTCGGGTGAGAAGCCGTACCGCTGCGAGCTCTGCGACCAGCGCTTCCGGCAGAAGGGCGTGCTGCAGCGGCACATACGCACGCACACGGGCGAGCGGCCGTACCGCTGCGACCAGTGCGACGGCGCGTTCATCGATTCTGGCGCGCTCAAGATGCACAAGATCCAACACACGGGCCAAAAGCCGTTCTACTGTGAGCACTGCGGCAAGGGCTTTTCCGACTCGTTCTGGTTCAACAAGCACAAGATGTACCACAGCGGCGAGCGGCCTTTCCAGTGCGACGTCTGCCCCAAGGCGTTCACGGACGCACGCATCCTGCGCCACCACAAGAAGCTGCACTCAGGCGACCGGCCCTACATCTGCTACGTGTGTGGCGCGCGCTTCAGCAACTCGTCCCACCTGACGCGTCACAACCACATCCACACTGGCGCCAAGCCGTTCGGGTGCGACGTGTGTCGGCAGACGTTCCGCGACAAGTCGACGCTGAAGCGACACCTGAAGACGCACAGTTGTCGCAAGACGCTCAGCTGTCCCGACTGCGCGCGCACCTTCCCGCGGCGCGACGCGCTGTTGGCGCACCGCCGCGAGCCGTGTGTGGATGCGCTGGCGCTGGCCGTGAGCGCCGCCGGGCCGCCGGGCTTCACGCACCCCGAGAAGCCGCTCTACAGCCTGAAGCCGCTGCAGCCGGAGCTGGCCGCCGACGGCGCCGTGCTGCAGCTGCAGCCGGTGCAGCCGACGCTGCCCGGCCTGCAGCAGCTGCAGCAGCCCCAGCAGCAGCAGCAGTCCCAGCCCCAGCAGCAGCCCCAGCAGCCTCAGCAGCAGCAGCAGGAACACCAGCAGCAGCCCCACCAGCAGCAGCAGCAGCAGCAGCAGCCTCCACAGCAGCACATGATGCAACAGTACTAGCAGCCGCACCCGGGGGTGGCACAGCTGTGGAGTGGCGAGGCGGGACGGCGTGCTGCTGCCGTCGGCGGACGGGTGGCGGCACCTCCGTGCCACCCTATCATCATCAGTCATGCGTGCAGCTACAGAAGCTCGCCGAATTCTTACCCCAGCATGGTGGCCGCGACGTTTAAGTGTGGTCAACGTATCGGCACGCGCCGGCTGGTCGTTGATCTGATGTTTTTATACAGGCATGCGTCGCAACTGTTGACAAGACGTCTTTTGGTAGTGTGAATCCTTTACTCCCATCTTTCGTCTTGTAGTTGCCCTCAGTCGTGCGTTTTGCGATGTTTGTTTTTTTCGGCGGGCGCTGCAGACATATTATTGAGCATCGTTTTTCAATAACACAGCAGCGTTGACATTGTTCGAATTTGGTACTAGCAGCCGTACCCGGGGGTGGTACAGCTGTGGAATGGCGAGGCGGGACGGCGTGCTGCTGCCGTCGGATGAGCATTTTCGGGCGGTATGTTGCATCGCCAGCGAGTCCAAGTGCTGTTTCTTCGTCACAGAGACCGCGACAAACCGAGATCTCTTGAGAAATCCCCACGATCGGTGGTGCCTTTTCCTCACCGAAATGACCGGTGCCGGTGGGCCGGTGCCTTCCTTTCACACCCGTCCTGGCATGTCTCCCGCGTGCTGGGCCGAAAACTGCCCCAACAGCGGGCCGACCTGGGAATGCCCGATGTGCCCTCCTTGCATGATGACCACCAAATAACGGCACTCAGCGGCGCGCCTGTAGGCCGCGATTATCATCAGCATGCCCCGCTGAGCCCGTGTGCACACGTATACTATGCTTCAGCACACACATACGCCTCTGTATGAGGACGGCTGACCACTTCGTGCCGCCTGGTGTGCACAGCATGCGTTGCGCGCCGCTCAGTAATATCAGACTTGAGAACAAGGTGAGGCTTTATTCATACAGATTGACTCGCACAGTCACGGCCTTGGATGGCTGCTGTTCACACGAAAGTGATGTTCGAAGTCTGCCTGTCACTAAGGAAGTGAACCTATCAGCTGCACGAGAGCAACGACCTGACTTGGCCAGGTTTCGCAGCAAGCACGTGCGTTGATAACCGCGGAGCGGTTGGCAACTCTCTTGCCGTCCGTCTGGGTGCCTCTCAAAGCTCGATTTATGGGCTGGAACGGACGCGAGCCTAGTTGTCTGCAGTGGGAGGCTCGTACTTCAGGTTGAAGTTGAAGGACAGGCACCCGAGTAGCGTGGCGGGCGCCGACTTGGAGAACAGCGTTACGTTGCCGTGGTAGCCTCCCTGAAATGCATTAGCGGGCGGGTTTGATGTGGAACGACGAAACAAAACGCGACCACCTTACTTTGACAGGAGTTTCTAGCAAGCTCTTTCTCTCCATTACCTCCGAGCAAGCCTGGCGCGATAGCAGCCAAGCATCTCGTGCCCGCAATTCTTCTGTCCCATGCAGGACCCCCGTCAGCAGAAGCAGCCGATGGAACGAAGCCCAACTCCACAGCCCACGCCAGTCCTGGAGGTCACGTACCGCGATGATCTTGTCGATGGCCTCCCCGAGGTCTGGCAGAGTGATCTTAAAGCCGTCAGACTGGTAATGTCCGGCCTTCAACACGCAGCCGCACGGTATGTCGGGTGGGAACAGCGGACAGAATACGTCCGGAAACTTGGTGATGTAGTCGCACATGTCCACGTCACTGCAACACAGAGTTTGGGTCTGCATGTGCGGGTGCATTTTTCGTATTTAGTGAACTGGCATTGGCCTGAGCATTAAACGGCGTCCCTCATAGGCTACAGGGCGTGATAGCCGACCAGCAAACCGCCAATTATGAAGCAGAAGATGAATTGGTTTTGTTTGGCCATCAGCGGTATGTGCTCGAAGCCAGCGAGTTTGGTTTGTGACGGACCTCACGATCAGCGATGTGTGCTTGGAGCCAGCGAGTTTGGTTTGTGACGGGCCTCACGATCAGCGATGTGTGCTTGAAGCCAGCGAGTTTGGTTTGTGACGGGCCTCACGATCAGCGCTGTGTGCTTGAAGCCAGCGAGTTTGGTTCGTGACGGGCCTCACGATCAGCGCTGTGTGCTTGAAGCCAGTGAGTTTGGTTTGTGATGGGCCTCACGATCAGCGATGTGTGCTTGAAGCCAGTGAGTTTGGTTTGTGACGGGCCTCACGATCAGCGCTGTGTGCTTGAAGCCAGTGAAGTCACATCGGAAGATTGCACAATGGGAGCTAATTTAAGCGCGCTTGAGTGCAGTATTCCCTGCTGATCGTCAACGACCAGATACCCGTTGTGTCTGGGGTCGTTCCAGCTCTGCTCCAAGTTGTGCTCCAACTCTAAAACGTCTCTGGGGAAGGAAGCTGTTGCTGGCGGGACGCCTCAAACACAAGTGCCCGCGTCCTCCGAGACAGCAGCGAAAGCCCAAACCGGCTGTTCTTTTACCAGACACAAAAATCCCCAGAAATGACCAGACCTTTGCGAAGAGTCATTTGTGTCAGATGACCAGGACAGCTGAAGCCTTACCAGCTGCCGAGACCTTTCATGCAGGGCACCTCGATATCGTACGGATCCTCCTTGATCACTTCGACCTTGAGGATCATGTCATCGGGCCAGTCCGAGCGCAGGTCGCCCTGGAAGGCCAGGGTCATCGACCCCGGGACGATCACTGGGTCAGGCGACACTGTGGCGTCATGGAACACGGCCCCGGGTGTCAGACCTGCCGGCAGGGGACGGACGTTACAATCTGAAGTCACTGAACACCGCCCCGGGTGTCAGACCTGCCGGCAGGGGACGGACGTCATAATCTGAAGTCAATGAACACCGCCCCGGGTGTCAGACCTGCCGGCAGGGGACGGACGTCATAATCTGAAGTCACTGAACACCGCCCCGGGTGTCAGACCTGCCGGCAGGGGACGGACGTCATAATCTGAAGTCACTGAACACCGCCCCGGGTGTCAGACCTGCCGGCAGGGGACGGACGTCATAATCTGAAGTCACTGAACACCGCCCCGGGTGTCAGACCTGCCGGCAGGGGACGGACGTCATAATCTGAAGTCACTGAACACCGCCCCGGGTGTCAGACCTGCCGGCAGGGGACGGACGTCATAATCTGAAGTCACTGAACACCGCCCCGGGTGTCAGACCTGCCGGCAGAGGCCAGACGTTACAATCTGGCGTCGTTACCCCCCCCCCCCCCCCCCGGGCGCCAGACCCATATATATCTAATGCCATTAGATCGGTAGCACTTATGCTAAATTACAACCAGACGTGTGCAAATCGGAAGAGAGACATCGGCTGCTAAATGGTATAGACTCACAAGTAAAACAAACGAGGGTAAGCCGGGCGAGTTACGGGCAACCCAACCCAACGGTTCTTCCAATCCCAGATCAACGCTTCGTTTGCTCACGTCGTACATGTCATCGTTAGCCATACCCCGCCCACTTACACATGCGGGTTTAGTTTAATGCCAAGTACAATGCCCTTCTTTGCGGACTGCACACTCTGGGTATAGCCGTTTTCACTCTGGTGGCATTATATTTCTGCGGTCAGACCTGCTGGCGGAGTTCATACACCACGATCTGACGGCATTGAACGCCGCCGCGGGCGTCACACCTGCCGACGGGGCTTCAGATAAGACGCCAGGCTCAGTCCACCTGTACGCCGTCCGACCGACTGATGAAGGGAATGGTGTACAGACCCTGGTGTACAGAACCTGGTGTACAGAATCTGGTATAGACCCTGCTGTACAGGGCCTGGTGTACAGACTTTGGTATTCAGACCCTGGTGCATAGACTCTAGTGCACAGACGCGCTGGTTGGCCATACACGCGTGGGGCACGGAAATGACGCACTAATTTCCCCGACGACATCGTTGGCCGCTTGTTCTGAATACGTCACTGGACGTTACCGCCTGGGCCGCTTCGTCCACCACTGATTCCAGAGCTGAGCCGCCTCATCCACCACTGCTTCCAGAGCGAGCGACACGTCAATGGCCATCTCGGCTCAAGTCCTGCCACATGTGTCTGCAAGCACGCCCCCGAGCCGCCAGGACGCCGACTTACCGCAGTCTAGCGATACCCCGGCAGGCACGCCCCCGAGCCACTAGGACGCCGACTTACCGCAGTCTAGCGATACCCCGGCAGGCACGCCCCCTGGCCGCTAGGACGCCGACTTACCGCAGTCTAGCGCTACCCCGGCCGGCACGCCCCCGGGCCCCCGGGACGCCGACTTACCGCAGTCTAGCGATACCCCTGCAGGCACGCCCCCGAGCCGCTAGGACGCCGACTTACCGCAGTCTAGCGCTACCCCGGCCGGCACGCCCACGGGCCCCCGGGACGCCGACTTACCGCAGTCCTTGATTTCGTTGGCGGCCGCCAACGAGGCCAGCAGCGTGACCGCGGCCAGGAGCATCATGTCGACCGCGCTGACCGGCCAGGCTCTCGGACTTCGTGGTATTGACGCTCCACCGATGCATTTATATCCGAGCCGGGGAACGGCAGCAGCTGCCGCGCGACGCCCGCACGGCCCGGGACTTTGACCAGCGGAACTCTGCTATCTCGACGGTTTTTGTTTCCCGAGCTCATTTGATGAGTTTTGAGCGCGCATGATAAGTATTCGCCGCTGATTCTGCTGCTTTGTGTAATGACTGGATAAGCTTGTATACATTGATGTCTGGTATATCGGATACGGAGCTGCTTTCACAGCAACCCTGCAGCCGTCTATCAACGCTCACGAGGGTGTGATGCTTTAAACACTCCGGTCATGTAGGTGCAGGAAAGTGTTATGTACAGGTGAGGTTTTCCCATGCGCCCTGCATAATAACAGCGTAAATCATCATTAAAGCTTTCACGGTGACATCACCACAGGAACCTGCAGGACAGCTGGCACAGGCGCTGCACAGGAAGCACAGGCGCTGCACAGGAAGCACATGAGCTGCACGGGAAACACAGGAGCTGCACAGGAAGCACAGGCGCTGCATAGGAAGCACAGGCGCTGCACAGGAAACACAGGACAGGACAGGACAGCCGGCACAGGCGCTGCACAGGAAGCATAGGCGCTGCACAAGAAACATAGGAGCCGCACAGGAAGCACAGGCGCTGCACAAGAAACACAGGAGCTGCACAGGAAACACAGGAGCTGCACAGGAGGCACAGGAGCTGCACAGGAAGCACATGAGCTGCACGGGAAACACAGGACGGGGCAGGACAGCCGGCACAAGAGCTGCCGCTGAAAGGAGACCGGTTACCCTGATCACAGCTCAGCTCCATACAGCAGAGCGCACAGGTAAGCAGCCTTCTGTATCCTTTTTTCCCTGACGTACCTTAGATCGACTTCATCCAGCACGCTCCAAGCTCGATTCGACCACTCTCACGCACCCCACGCACACTAGGTATGGAAACGCTGGAGACCCCATTTATGAAGCGAATTCGCACATCCACCGACCGGCAGCGCGTCCGACTATCAGTGACCTGGTATGGAAGTGTGACTGTGCATAAATGGATGCACGAGTATCGTTCGCACGAAGCACCAGATCTCTGTGATCTCTGTGGAACAATGCAGGTTACAACGAGGGCTACCCCAGCTGAGGCCCGTTTCGGTCGCCGCACCGGCCGAGACCGGCCACGGACCGGCTCCAGTATGGAGTAGTCAGGGCGAGCGACGGCGCCTCGCAACAAGGCCGGGCTGAGGGGCAGCTCCGACGGCGGGCGGAAGCCTCCTGCCAGGCTTGTGTACGTCAACGGCGGCACGCGAACGAGGGCGGGATCGACCCGCACTCTTCTGCCCACGGCAGCGCTCAGTGATGACGTCATGATGGCGGACCCGGCTTACAGTCCACTGCCCGGCGGCAGCACTCAGTGATGACATCATGACGGTGGACCTGGCCTACAGTCCCCTGCCCCGCGGCAGCACTCAGTGATGACGTCATGACGGTGGACCTGGCCTACAGTCCCCTGCCCCGCGGCAGCACTCAGTGATGACGTCATGACGGTGGACCTGGCCTACAGTCCCCTGCCCCGCGGCAGCACTCAGTGATGACATTTTGACGGTGGACCTGGCCTACAGTCCCCTGCCCCGCGGCAGCACTCAGTGATGACGTCATGACGGTGGATCTGGCCTACAGTACCCTGCCCCGCGGCAGCACTCAGTGATGACATCATGATGGTGGACCCGGCCTACAGTCCCCTGCCCGGCGGCAGCACTCAGTGATGACATCATGATGGTGGACCTGGCCTACAGTCCCCTGCCCGGCGGCGGCGCTCAGTGATGACATTATGACGGTGGACCCGGCCTACAGTCCCCTGCCCCGCGGCAGCACTCAGTGATGACATTATGACGGTGGACCCGGCCTACAGTCCCCTGCCCCGCGGCAGCACTCGGTGATGACATCATGACGGTGGACCTGGCCTACAGTCCCCTGCCCGGCGGCGGCGCTCAGTGATGACGTCATGATGGTGGACCTGGCCTACAGTCCCCTGCCCCGCGGCGGCACTCAGTGATGACGTCATGACGGTGGACCCGGCCTACAGTCCCCTGCCCCGAGGCAGCACTCAGTGATGACGTCATGATGGTGGACCCGGCCTACAGTCCCCTGCCCGGCGGCGGCGCTCAGTGATGACGTTATGATGGTGGACCAGGCCTGTTGCACTGTTCTCACACGGCGGCTGTCACCAGCCAGCAGACGGTGCACAGCGCCGGCTTGTGCTCGATTCAGTTTAGAATCAGAATCTAACCAGGAATCATGTGAAGGATGAACGAATCTTTTCCGCGAGTTAGCGTTGAAACGAGATGGGTTACAGCCATTTGGAGGTTACCATTAGTGAGCACTCACCGCCTCCACTCGTCGCTAGAAGAGCCTGCAGCCCGAGGCCAGCGGTAGGCATGCCGCCTGCCGCTGCGTATCGACCGCGAGGGGGGACGGGGACGGTGACATCCTCCACACTACGCCACTTTCGAAGTTCTTTCGCATTTTGGACATTTTGTACTTTGAACACTATAAACTCTATGACCTTTTTGGATATTCTGTACATTGTACATTCTGTGCTTCGGAAAATGTGTGCTTTTGGACCTTGCGTACTTCGGACATATGAGCATCTCCACTCTGAGCCATTTTGGAAGTGATTTCTCATTCTGGACATTCTGTACCTTGGGCAATATGAACGCCCCCCGTCCGTATCATAGTGCCTAATGTACAGAATGTACGAGGTACAGAATAACCGAAGCCAGATTGTCCCATGTACGTTATGTTCAAGTTACAAATGCTCAGAGTGCACATTGTCCAAAACACGCCAGGGTGTGGCGTATCACCGTTATGGACAGGCGGCGGCGTCCCAACCACGCCGAAAGCGCGCACAGTCTACACCAGTGCGAGCACTACGCGCACGATGTCGGTGCGTCACATTGCAGTAGATTTGATTCCCACGCCGGAGCAAGCCGGCGCTAGGAGGGAAATGGGGCTGCCCATTACCGTAGCCCGCATTTCAATGGAACAATCTCTAGGCCGTTGCTTGTTTCGCTTGGTCGCATTTATGTGCACCATTTTCATCGGCTTTCGGCCACGTTCGCAAAGGCCAGTGTGAGTTGAAGCTTAGGTGAAGTCGTTATTTCTCGTCACCCTGAGTTATTTTAGGAGTTTAAAACGATTTTTTTGACGAATAAGCATTGTTGTCCTGCGCCGTGTGTTTTGCTTTATAAATGATCCGCATGCTGAGTGAGATGCCAGAGATAGCATATAAATGATCCGTGAAATTTCGGTTGGCTGTTCAACAGTTTGAAGCCGTTCTCAAGGGCGGATGTAGGGACGTTAAGGTAACTATATCATGCCCTCTCCTAAGGTGGTGAATGTTGATACAAAATGACACATAGCTTGACTTTGCAGGAAATTTAAAATAACTATGGTATCGTGATGTTACTGGCGTGCGCCTGAGTCCGCCCGTGCTCGCGCCGCCAGTGCTGCTGTACCTCGGTACTCCGCTGCCCCGACCGGCGGTGTACTGCCTGGGGCGCCGCCCGCAGGGGTCGGCGTCGCCTGCTCGCCTCGCGTGTTAAGACAGTTACCGTCTCACAGCGCTCGTGTCTGGTCTGAATGACGGCGGTCTGACTGAAGGGAGCGCGAGCAGATAGAACACGTAAGACTTGAATACTGTCGCCATGGAAAGGTTGCGTCAGATGCTCCTTAATGTTACTGGGTGTCAGAAACTGTACCTATGCGTGCACGCGGCGCTCGTGCGCCGCCGGCGGTAGCGCGCCAGCGATTTGGCGGGAGCGCGGTTCGCATGAGGTGCGGTGCGAATGCTAGGCGCTTCGAACCTTCAAATCTTCGGCCACGGAAGCATACACGGGGAAGAGGTGACGTCGGTTGCTGGCGGCCGGCGGGGCCGCGTTTGACGTGCAAGGCCTCGCTGAATACGAGACGAGTGGAGCGTTGGACGCGCGCCGAGCTGCCGTGTAACGGAGGGACTAAAAGGCCGACCGAACCTGTTCACAGCCCCGTGCTCCGGGCCTATGACACTGATCGACACCAAACCTTCACTCTTCAATGTGCTGTAGTCGACATCCTATCCTACCCGGAAGATGGTGACATTGGGTCGGGTCAAAGGTCACCAAAACACCCGAAACCATAAAATTGGCTGCGGACTAAACCACCAGAATTGGTCCCACAAGCTCGTAGCATGGTGCTGTCCGCAGCAAATTTTTGTGGTTTTGGGTGCTTTTGGTGACCTTTAACCTGTCCCAAGGCCACCATATTCTTGAAAGGATAGCTTATCGACTAAGCGGCATCGAATGGTAAAAGTTAGGTGTCGACCGGTGCCACAGGCTCGGGGTACGATGCTGTTGATATATTTGGTCGCCGTCCGCCTGGTGGATCTGCAGCAGCTGGCGGCCTTCTTCGGCACAGCAAGTTGACTCGCTGGGCCGAAATGCGTGCTCGTCTATGCCTTGGCCGCCTCCCTCGTCGGGGGGGAGGGAGCGGTGTCGCGTCCGAGCGCGCTGAGGACGCACCAGCTGAGTATGCCCCGCTGTACCGTAGAACTCGTGCGTGAAGAGTGCTAGATATTTTCGATGTTTTGATCACTGTGACCGATTCTTGAGAATTAGATGGAGGGGGGGGGGGGGGGGGGGCACAGACTTACGTGCTCGCATACTGCCGGCGACATTTTGGCGAGAGTGCGGATCACGTTTGCATAGTGGTAACGCTTGTCGGCTGGATAATTTTATTCAAGAAAAAACTAGCCCAAGTTCGATTATTCTGAAAAACGAAGACCCCTTTTGGGATATAGCTCTCCAAGCTGGCGCCTGGGCCGCGTCATGGGTCAGCCCTTGGGTCCCTCCACATTCCCAATAATGGAATGCAAGGTTGATGTACAAAGGCTGCTTGGTTGCCTGGTAGTGAGTAGGCGTCGTTACCTAAGCCA